GGTATAACAGTATGACTTCACCTGAAGCTTTACTCTATGGCCATGCCTTGGTTTATGTCACTTTAATGATGTCAATTTACCCAATAGAAAGAAGACCCTTAACACAGATTTTTCATTTTCTTCAATTTCTTGACTCTTGTGAGATTACAGCATGCTGAATTATTACAGCTAAGTTTCCTTCCTTAAAACTGTTTATAAATGTCCAGCAAAACGGAACTACAAGCACTGGCAGCGCTGATACCCTAAGTAGGTATTTAATTCATTTAATTCACTTTTCATAGAATAAATATTTACTAGAGCTTTTACTAAAGTGTCCTGATTTAAGCAAGATGCTGGGTATACAGAAGGGGACAAAGCCCCCTTAGGGTGGCTTTGATGAACTATGATGACAATTTAGGCTAGTGGAGGCATTTGACTGAGAGGGTGGCAGTGATATGGGAGGGTGTGAGGTCAGGAAAACTCTTCTGTTTAGAGGGGACCTTATGTCTAAACCTAAAGATGGAGGTGCCTGCAGGGCTGGCAGGGGAGCCCCTAAGTGTTCCTGGCAGATGGAACGAAGACCTTCCTCAGAACTGAAGCAAAGAGGCTGTGGCTGAATCAGTCTGGATATGGAGGCAGGAAGAGTGTGCTATAAGACTGTAATGTAGATATTCTAAAGAAAAGGACAGAAATAGTTTTCGAAAATCCTACTGGGAAAATACATGTCATTTTTAAAAATTTTAGTCCAAAATTGGTAGACATGGAATCCAACCTCTTGTTCTGAAAACAGATGCAGCAAGCTCACTTGCACACCAGATCCCCTGAGCTTGAGGCCCTCCACATTCCATCTGGTTGCTTCCATGCCCCTGTACAGCTATAGTGTGACCTTAAGCACAGGAGGCTGGGCAGGGGTGGCAGCAGGTTCCCTCCTGACATTACTCCTCTAGGGGCTGCTGCTACCACCTGAAGAGGCACTAACAATTAGAGAGAGGTTGACAAGAGCACAACCCCACCCTGCTGGCCAGCCAGCCCCAGCAGGACACTTCACAATGGTGCTAGAAGCTGCACATTCAAGCACAGGAAGTTGAGCCTCCAGGGGGCTGGCCACTATCTCAGCCAATAGTGTCAACTATTCCATTCCACTCTAACCTCCTGCTTTATTTCCTTTCTTTTAATCTGTCTGATACCACAAAGCTAGTGCCGACACCTGTGGTTCTCAATAGTGTTAGGACAGTTTGCTCCCAATCTCTTCAACACACATCTTTCATACTTTGGTATACTTATTTCTTCGAAGGCTCAGACTATACGAAGTTTTTCTTTTGTCTACAACCCTTGCTAATTAGCTATCCATTTGCACAGAAGCGTGGTTCTCTTAGAGCCACTTGGTATTTGCTACCTCAACCAAATGCCTTCACCTCAAAATTCCTCCTTAATATGTATTTCTTCAGGAACAGTAATTTGAACATCTCTTCTAAGGAATTATTAGGGTAAAAAAAAGTAATTTCCCCAGAAGAGAACTATAATTAAATGAGTGGAAGAGTAGGGTGATCTTGGTTAGAATCCTAATCTCTTTGCCTCTGAAAATGAGTGGCTTGAAATATTCAGAGTTGCTCTCTTATCTTTTGAACATTTCTCAAAAAACAAGGTTAAGATACTTTCTCAATTCTCCTGACCAGGACGAAGAGGAGGGGAGTCAAATATTTTGTTAAATCTCATAAATATAGTACTTTTTGAATCTGAACAAAAGCCTAAAGAAAGGTTACTGGCATCACTTACAGCTTTAACTGCTAACTGGTTAATAAAATATTGACAGCTCCTAATTCATTATCTGCTGTGTTATTTATATCTGCTGTTAAATCACCCCATATTCCCTAATCGATAGGAATTAAACAAGGACCCATAATAAACCTTCAAAAATAGTAAACACACTCTTGTGTGTTTACCCAGGAGGAGCATCACTCCTCTTACTTCAAGGAAGCAAAGGAAAACTCCACATATCTACCAAGTTTTTGTAAGTCTTTGGCACAAAAGTGGTTGGTTCCATGTCTCCTGATTTCCCTATGGAGACAAATCTGGATGATGCAAGTGTTTCCCCTCAGAACTAACTTGAGGCTTTGCTACTAGATAAAACAGGCTGATGGTACAAAGCTGATTCATTTTCCTGGGACTTAAGAAACAAAAATTTCTATAGTATAAGAAATAACAGTGATAGAATGATGATGACCACTACGTGGGAGGAAAACTGAAATGGTCAGTAACTATTAATTGATCATCTTCCTTTGTTGTTAAATCATGAACCAGTGATTTCTTATTCTACCTGGACAGGAGGAGGGGAATAGGGTCACTTTATGTTCTAAAACTTCTGATATTTTAAAAAACAAAACCATTAATAACAACGGCTAGAGGGGCAGAAAGGAGTGAACAGATAGGCATTACAAAGGGCCAGGGTTTATAATAATAATATACCTAAAAGTGCTTCCCCCTATAGGCAGCCATATCCAAAGCCCTAATAGAATCTTCTCCTCAAACACTTTTTAAAAGAGGATATAGAACTTTAAATTAGTTATTATAAAGGACATGTCAGTCCTCCAGCTACCTTCTATAAAATCAAGGCACAGAATTCTGTATCTTAAGTAGTCATTAAAGCAAAATATCTGGAAAGGGGACTAAAGGATGAAAGTAAGAAAATATAAAACATTGAACATTTAAACTTTTTTATCTATTGTGTCATCCAAAATATATTTTCTTTTTACTGTGGCAAGAACACTTAATATAAGTTAACAAATTTTTAGGTGCATAATACAGTAATGTTAACTATAGCTACAGGGTTCAACAGCAGCTCTCTGGATTTTATTCTTAAAAGCTACTTCCAATTTCCCTCTCCTTCCAACCTCTGGCAATCACCATTTTACTCTGTTTCTTTTAGCTTGACCATTTGAAGATACTTCATATGTGAAATTATGCATTACTGACCTGTGATTGGTTTATTTCAGTTAGCATAACAAATTGAGCATTTTTTAACCTAAGTAAAATCTTTATGAAATTAACTGGATAAAAGTATAATACAGTAAACTAAATATTTCTTGATTATAAACTGTATTACACAGTATTCCACATTACATAATATTACCCCCAAAAGACTTTCAACAGAGAGAACACGGCTAGGAGTTGGGTTAGAGTTTTGATTTGAGTATAACCAAAGATTGTATTTGCATCACAAAGAGTTCCCTATCATTACACAGATTTCTCAAATTTAATAATAAAGTGAATTATTAAAGCAAGTACAGACATTTACTATAACTTTCTGCATAGGTTTATTCTCCATCTGCCAAGACTGAACTGCCTCTAGTATATCACTGGTTATGAGATGAAAAATAAAATGGAAGAACCCAGGAGCACATTTAAAAGGAGAGGTTAGGTTAATAAAAGATAGTATCACCGGCTTGAGAAGGGTCAGAGAAGCTGGTGGGAGAGATGTGCCAGTATCCTATCTACAAGCAAACCAAAAAATAATAGAAGCATGGCTTGATGATCAGAGTAAACAATGATCTAAAATAAAGATGCTTGGCAAAAAAGGCATTTCATGAAGGTTTGCATTAATAATGAATATTAACTTTAAAATAGGATTAGTTTAGGATAAAATTGGAAGGCTTTTAATGTATCTAAAAATGTCATAAGACTTCTTCTATTTTCCAATTAGTGTTTCAGACACTCAGAAGTAAACAGTCTCATCAAGAAGGGGCATTTAAAACATACATACATCATATTCTGGAAGTATTAAGATGAACCATATCAAATCACTGTGGGGTTTTTTTTTTTGTAGATGAAAAGTTCAAATACCAGAAATTTGCTTTGGTTCAAATAAAAAAAAATGGGACTCATTAATTCAATGTTAAAAATTAAACCTGAGGACACACTAATATTTTGTGGTTTAAAAGGAAGTTCATTTCTGTGAAAGAATATTACTGAAGAAGGAAAAGGATTTTTAATATCCTACATTAAGTATATGTCTCAAGTCACACAAAACTGGCCAATCAGAACATCTTAAATTAAGCCAAAAAATAAAAATTTCCATGTATAACTATGCTTTTTACTTTCTTTTCTAACATACAAAATTTATCCCTAATAAAATCCTATTCCCAACAGATTTCTCCACACCTCTCTGGATCCCCGAACCCAGCTACTAATGGCAAAACTTCAAGCACACAGTCCTGTGCCCACATACACCTCACTTCTCAGCCTATTATGCACCCGCTTTCTCTGACTCACTCCAGCCCTTTTCTACTGCTCTACTTTTCTTCCAACCTTGGCACACGGCACACTGACAGTCCCATCTGTCCATGTCAGGTCCCCCCTTTCCTTTAACACACCAGTGATCTAATCTTTCCTGCATAGAAAGTGGCCATTCTTGTGAATTTCACTTCCTCTCCCTTTCCCATGAGTGTTGTGATTATAAAGAACACATGGTAGATTTTGTCATATAACTTCCCACTTCTGCCATATCTAGATCTTTGTACCTTTCTCAAAAACCAATTTCACCTACAAGTCATCAATAAACAGAATTTGAATCTCATAAATTACAGTGATTTTCTAAGAGGATTTATACACACCTGCAACTTAACTATTAGAATAAAGGGACTCATCTATACTAGGAATGTTTCCATGTAGATGGATATTTTCTTTATGACACAAAGCACAGTGTACTCTGTGGCTCCATTTCAATGACATAAAAAAAAAATAACTTTCTCAGGAAAATGAATACAGGATCTGACTGAACTCTATTAAGTATTTGGGAAGTAGTTTATAATAGGAAGGGGACCTCAATGTGCTTGCAACAGTTTTTGCCAATGGATATTGGAACAGTGCGTCTCTGACTGGCATTCTAATGGATTAATCATTTTCCAGTTTGGGCAGTTGTAGGACGGATTTGGTGAGGTCACCAACAGACCGACAAACATTAACATTTGGTATTCCACTGTTTTGAACAACCCAGCAAAGCCATACACCCAGCGTTTACATACCTTGAATTTGCTATTTCCACTTTGGTTCTCGCCATGGCGGCAGCCCTCTGTGCACCTTCAATTGCTCTGTCCACCTTCTCCCTAGTTTTTGTATTTCGTATGGGTATAAGTTGCTTCCTTATTCCACGGACCAGGATATTATTTTTGTACTTTCCCTCTTCTTTAGAGCCGTCAGGAAACACAGTGCAGCCATATCCATGCCTCTTGTTGTTTGCCCACTCGCCTTCATACTTCATGCCATTGGAGCGCTCGCTAATGCCAAAACCATTGCGCTTGTCGTTCTTCCATTCGCCCATGTAGGTTTCCGTGGTAGTGGCATCAACGTGGTCTTCCACGGGGCAAAAATCACAATCTATGTCGCCGAAGCTGATTGTGGAGTTGGCATCACTGGAACTAATTCTGCTCATAGCCGCGTCGCTGCGGACAGAGCTGCGCTTGCTTGAGATGGAAGACTTGGATTCAGACTTGCGAAGTTTCATGCTTCCTAGAAGGGAGCCCCTTCGGAAGAGGCCACCCTTCTTCTTGCCTGGGAGCTCGGCGTCTGCGTGGAAATTGAGCACAAAGCCACCGCGGGTACCCGCTGGGCTTTCAGCTGCGGCCGCGGCGTCGTGGAGCACGCTGCCATTGCTCTGCTCGCTGCGCAGCGAGGCCAGCGAGGTGCGCAGCGGGGACCGGATCACTGTGGCCATGCCATAGGGCACGCTCTGGCGCACGCCGTAGCCATGTCGCATGCCGCCAGCCCACTGGCCCTGGTAGGTACCTTGGAGAGATCACAAGAAACCGAGCGTTAGTGGAGGGGGCAGGCACGGGGGTATGCGCAATGATCACCTGCAAGTCACCAGGCCAGGCACTGGGAGTACCTGGCGTGCAGAGCAGGCAGGCGGAATGCCATGCCTCTCCAAGTCAACCTTTAAGGGATACTTTCCCTCCACGTGTGAATTCCCGCCCTAGAATTTTGTGTCTATGGCTGTAATGTAATTGTACTGGATTTTCCAATAATCTGGTCATTTCCATTTAAAAATTTATATGGTCATTAGAAAATAAATTTTTCTCTCCTGAAAGCAACACTTCAAAAACCCATCTTAGGAAGGTAGATGAAGAGAGTTCTCTTTGTGAACTTTATTCTCATTTTAATAATTTAGCTGAAAAACACAAATTGACTTTTAGGTCTATCAGTACAACATTCCAAACACAAATTGACTTTTAGGTCTATCAGTACAACATTCCAAGAAGCTCAGAGAGTTAAAATTATTTGTGATCTGAATGAATACTTGGGACACCGGTCTTTAAACAGATTACCTTAAAATTTGTACCATTTTCATCTTTTTGGGGGTTGGGTAAACTAACATTCAGGTTTATTATTTAGATGGGCTAAGACCGATTTGAAAACACTATATCCTGAATATAGGAAATTAGTGCTTAAAAAAGGGCAATTTTTTAACATTTTGTATTTCTAAGTAAAAAGGTTAATCTTTGTCCCATATGACAACAAAATTCTGCTTTCTCCTGGTCATTCTCTTCTTGGATTTTCCCAGCCTCTGCCACCACACTGTCAATCACATCATAGACTAGATACATTCTGAGGCCAGGAATTAACTCCTAAGAGGACACAAAATTTTCCAGACTCATGACTTGGGTATAGTGGTCTGTAGGTGTTTGATGACTTAAAGTAAACATCTACGTGGCTAAAAAGAGCACTCACCCTGGCTACTGTAGAAAACAGATAAAAGCTGAGATAAGGTCAGAGAAAAGCTTCCACTCTTAATGGTATGGAATTCAACTCAGCAGTGTCTGACAGTGCCCTTTCAAACTTTGTTGACATCAGATCATTTTTTAAAAGAATATTATGCCCTTTCAGGAATAGGATAATCTCCTATACAAAGCATTTGTTTGCAGTGAATTTTTCTATAAAATTAGTAATGACATTTAGAAAATAAACTGGCAGAGCTTTTAAAAATAACGTTAGGAGAAACTGAATGTTAAGATTAGAGGACTTAGAATTTTCTTTTCAAAATCAAGGCCATCTCCTTTAATTAGAGGTAAGTTTTAAATTATTGTATCCTCCCCAAAGAGGCAATGTGGACATTTTATGATGCAATTACTCTCTATTACTTACTCACAGTTATTCACCATTTTGTAAAAATTATGACTACACTCTATCTAGACTTCTTTTAATTTCAGATTATGTAGATATACTTTGCAGTTTTCATTTTCTATTGCCACACACAGATCTCCATTGCACAGCACACAATTATTAAATACTGAACAATAATGTGAGTGGTTTTATATCACAGTATTAATAACATGGGCTGCACTTACATATTAATAATCTGATGGCTCCAGAATCATAAGTTTTGATTAATTTGAAGACTACCTTCTCTTTCTCTTTGTTCTGAAATATTACTGTTAATGTAAGCATACACTAGCAGGGACACATTGAAATACTAAAAGGGTCTGGTATGTGAATGTCACGTTCTGGGTAGATGTGAAAGCCTTAATCTTTAATCTATGACCTACTGAGGTGGGTGGGAAAGAGCTTTCCCAAAAGAAGAATTCCCAAAGGATAAGCTAATTATAAAGAACATTTCAGGTTAAGAAGCTTCCTCCTGAATATTAGCCACCTCCAAACACCATGACTACCTTAATGGAAGGCAACTGAGTTATTAGGAAATTTCAGTTTTGATTTTTCCTTTCCTCATATAAATCAAATTTAAATTCTAGGGTAAAGATTATACAGTCTAACCTATGTGTATTAAAACAAACCAGCTTAGTTTTAATTTGTTTGTTCAAATAAACGAAGAATGCTATTATCATTTCCTTTTAACTTTTTTTTTTAAGATTTATTTCATTTATGTATGCATACAAGAACTGGGGTGTAGGCGAGAGGTGTGGGGAGGGGGTGTGTATGAGGATTCACCAGAGTCAGAGAGGGGAACACAGTGGGTGAGACAGGAGAGGTCTGCTGCACCATGTGGGTTAGCCCCCTGGCTGGGGATCAAACTACTGCTGCAGTGGCTGGTGATAGCTTGATAGTGCTGAGTCTTAACCCCTTGCATCACCTTTTCTATTTAATGATAAGTTAATTTGCTAGAACAATTTCCAGGGTGCTGTTTGATATCAATAAATATTGACACTTTTAAAATGCAAGCATAGTAAATGTTTCATTCATAGTAAATGAAAGAATATGAACTAGTTTCCTTACACTACTATCTCTAAAAGTTAAGACAAGTCTTTCAACTTTCCAAAGAAATATTGCTTGCACATTTAAGCAGCTTAAAGCAACAGCAGTAATTAGAAAGTTAGGTCTCTGCTTAACTCTCAACTAGAGAGTGGGGGCCACATTCCTCCAATTTAAATCCCTGTTAAATCCCTGTGTATGGAGGAATTCCTAGAAACCAATTTACAATCAAACTGCTAGCTCACTTCAAATTTAAAACAGATTTACTTTATTTAATAAATAAACCTAGAAAACAGGCCTTTCTTGAAGCAAGTAGGTCCCACTGTTGCTCAAATAAAGTTCTAATTTGCACCTCTTGATTCTTTAAATATAGATACATATTTCACAAGCGTCAATTATTTTTATGGGTTTTCACCTGGAAGCTGATTTTCAAGCTATAGTCATTTTAATGGCAGTCTTGTAGTGGAAGCCCTATGGTTCAGAATGAACTCCAGTCAAATTCAAACCGTAGTCTGCCAAACTTAGTTGCATGCTATGAATGGGTGTATGCAAATATGCAAATAGCTAACAAAACAATGTGACTTCCAAGATATTTTCAATAGTTTTATGACAGGTGAAGAAAACGAAGTGCAGCAGATGGCAATTTGCACAAAGCATTCTGGGTACCCAGACTTGGGTTTCACTAGTATGGTACTAATTTATTCTTAATATTCCATGGGTTTCTATGTCAGCAACACTTCACACACAAATCACTAATAAAATAAATGAAGTGATGTTTCTCATGTGGAGTTACTACTTCCTTCCTCCTCCAGTTTAATGTCACTGCAAAATACATGGAATTAGTCTCCTTAAATCTGACAGAGGGTGTATGGGGTTGGGCATGTGGTGGTGTGGAGGGGGAAAAAAAACAACAACTAAACAACTCCTAAAGAATAGGAAAGGTGTATTTTTTACTTTGTCCAAACCCCCTGTATGAGATAAATTATGACAATACACTTCCACTTAGACCCCCCAGGTTTATGATTAAGGCTGTTCTAACTAAATGGAAAGACGTGAAAGAAAGTAGAAAACTGACTAGCTCAGAGTAGTTTAATTCAAGTTATTTTTAAGAGGTTCCCCTCCCTACCCCATTGGTAGCATACTCAATTTTTTTTTTCTTTTTGGGAAGAAAAAGAAAACCACAGTCCTATGGTGAAGCCAAATTTTAAGGTCTTTTTAAGTTAGTTTTAAAAAGGCAGATTATTCATTAAAGTCATCCTGGATACCTACTGAGTCTTTACAACACATACATAGACAACTTTTACTGTACTATATATATTTTTTGATTACTAGGTATAATGTGTACTTTAAACCAAAGGTTTGTTTAATGACTAGGAACTTTCAAGGAAGATGTATTTTTAACTTTCCAAGGTTATAAAATAAGGCACGCATTTAAAAAATAAATTTTGCATTCCACTTTTGAGCATGGAACTTGTATTGTAGAGCTGGGGCCTCTAATAAAATTCAGTCACAAGCTAATGTGTTTATAGGGCTGTCAACCAAGGCACTCTAAGACTATTCAGAACATTTAGGGTCCTAATTAACTACCGTGCAACTCAGGATTCATGCAGCCCATATGAAAGTAGTAGGGAAAGTTTTCCCCCTCTCTTTTAATCCATGAGAACCATATCCTTTGTTTATACTGTAGGATGAAAGGATGTCCTTTTAGCAAATCCTACCATTCTGCTGTTTTGCATTTGAAACACGGTTCAAGTGTTCTGAGTAAGTGAAGTGTACAAATTGTATAAGCTTTTATATAAGCAAAGGCATAACTGGGGTTGCAGTGGGCTGGAGAAACTTTTAATTGGATCCTTTTAATATCCTCCAACTCTAATTCCAAAGGGTGACATAGCCTTCTAAACATTTTTCAATTAAATATGACTGCTTATTATCAGAAAATGTATTTTGCCAAAGCATAAGCCATTCATCTTTCTCAGCTTGTTCACAAGGAAATTCATCAGGTTTTGACACCTGTTTCCATAACGTATACTTCTTTCTAAATTAAAACAAATAAAGGAACTCTGCACACACAATGTCTCTTTCAAATACTGTTAAATATTAAAAAGAAGGGAATTCTGCTCACAGCTAGCAAACTCTTTATCTCATACTTCTCACTACAAGACAGTAATCAGTTCTGTCATTCTCTGAAATAAACGTAGCTGCTAACTTAACTACAGAGCATACCTTCTTTCAATTCAATTGTATTTTTTTTTTTTTAAGTACAATTCATTTCTAAAATGTTTTCCTAATGATTTATCCAGAGATCTCCATGTCGGGAAAGACTACCCTTTTTTTTTTTTTTTTGATAGAAAAACAATGCTTTAAGGAACCGAATGCCAACCACGAAGGAAAATTCCGGAACCTCTGGCCCCCACCTGCATGAGGTGGTCTCTCCTCTTCTATAACCACGAAGTTTTCAAACGCACCCCCCATAAGCGGCAATTCCCCAGCATCCTAGTTATGGGGTTCTGGCTTCTATCTTTAGGCGCTTAGAGGACCAGAAGCGAAATACGATTCCACGTGAAACCAATGCCGGGAGCGGTCAAGCACCCACTGCCAGCCTCACCCGCGCAGGGCGTCCGCTCCAGCTACCGGAGTGGCAATTTCAAACCCGGCCGGGAGGAGGGCTCAGGAACGTAATGTGACGGGCTCAAGTGACAACGTCCTCTCTCCAGCCCAACCCTCCCGGGCGGCGCTCCCTCCTGCCGGAGAGGCGCTGGCGCCGGCCAGGTGCATTCACGCCTTGCTCCCGCGGGTGTGGACACACCGCCGGCTCCACGAACCGGGTCAGCTCGAACCCTCGCACACTAGTCGCGCGTCCTAACGCACCCTTTGGGGGCGGGCGGGCGCGGCAGGTGGGCGGGAGTCTTCCCAGGTGTTTTGGCGGGTTTCCGGACACGTGCGCCGCGCGTCCTCCCCGGTCGCCCGCAGCCTGTGCCAAGCCCACCGCGCTCTCTCCGAGCAGCCGAGCCGCCTGCGACGCCGCTCACCTCCGTCCCCGTAGGTCTCCACGCCGTACCCGTCCTGCAGCCCGTTACTCCAGGTACCCTCGTAGCGTGCGGGGGTGCACAGGCTCTGCCGGACCCCGTAGCGCCCCTTGAAACCATGTGACCACTCCCCCCGGTACATCCACTTGCCCTTGGTTTCCACCCCCAGCCCGTGCCGCTTGCCCTGCGCCCAGTAGCCCTGGTAGGTGTTGCCGCTGGGCCAGGTGTAGCCTCCGACCACCTCGAAGCCGTGCGACCAGGAGCCCGAGTACTCGCCCTGGCCCTTGGGCCCCGTGCAGATGCCATGCCCGTGCGCCTTGCCCTCCTCCCAGCCGCCGCAGTAGGTGCCGCCATCGTCGAAGTCGAACCTTCCGCCCGTCATTCGGGGGGCAGCCCCGGCGCGCTCCCCGCGGGGGCACGGGCGCGGGCAGGGCCGGGCACGGCAGGGTGTAGCTCTGGGGCGGGGGCCCAGCCGGCGAGCTCGCGACAGCGCCCCGGGCTGCTCGCGCCGCCGCTCGGCTCCAGTCCGACGCCGCCTCCGTCCTCCCCTCTTCTTTCGCCGAGGCCGCCGCCACCTTCCTCCTCCTCCTCCTCGTCCTCCCCCCCCTCCTCCGCCTCCTCTTCAGCCGCCGCCCCGGCCAGCGCCGCGCGCGAGAGGACAGCCCCGGCTCCGGAGCGGACCTTCAGCTGCTCCCGCCAGCCCACGTGAGCCGGGCGCCGCCCCGCGCCCGCCCCTCGTCCCCTCCCCGGGCGGGCGCCGAGGCCCGGCCCCGCGGCGCTCCCGCCCCCCCCCCCCCCGGGCCCTGCCCCCCACCCCCACCCCGCGCCCCGGAGCCACAGCCTCCCAGGCGGGCGGGACCGTGCGGGGCGCGGGGGGCCGCGCCGTGGGACGCCCGCGGGAGGGCGAGTCCCCGGGGACGCGCCCCGGCCCCTGCCCGCAGCGGAGCGCGCGGCTGCTCGGGTGGGGGCTGCGGGTGGGCGCCGAGCCTCGGGGGCTTGCGTTTGGGGTTTATCGATGTGGTTGAGCTCCTGGGAGGCCACGTGTGTGTCGAGGGGAAACTCATGTGTGTCTGTTCATGTGCGGGGGTTTGCAGTTGCATTTTTTTTCTGCATTCCAACTTGTGTACTGTTGCATTTGTCATGCTCAGCTGTCATCATGAATTAATACCCCCAGATATGTGTGCATATGATACAAATCAGCCGCAGCCTGGCTGTGATTGTGCAGAATGTTCTTTTACACCTACCCATTTCTAAACACATGTGTTTGCGTTTATTTAATGAAGATGCAGCGGGGGGGGGGGGGGGAGGAACGCCGTTTGAAAGAGCATAAAATAAAGTGGTTATTTTATTTGTAATGATGAAGAGGGTGTTTTTAATGTCTTTGAGGGAGCCTGGGAGCTTTCCTTTTTTTTTTTTTCAGAGCCTACTCTCCCTAATGCTTCATTTGTTCTACAACCTTAGAAATTCTTGAGCTATGTAGACAACAGGCAGACTGCTGAGTTTGTGTGTATTGTATGAGTGTCTGGAATGCACACCTGGTACCTCTTCACTGGTATCCACAGTTTGAGAAAGTAAATAGACGCTTTCAAGGAGGACTATGGTAAGTAAAACTCTGTTCTAAACTTACAAAGAGTCTGTGACCTACAAAACTGGGGACAGGTGTCAGCTGATCTACTTTCCAGCTGCAACACTGCTTTGTTGAATTCATTTTAGACAATTCTTTTAAAAGTCTGTTTCACCATCTTCCACATGGGAATGGCAAGGTTTGCCTCTTCCTTTCTGTGTGAAGTAATAACTGAGTATATTGTGGTTACAGTGCAAAGCCAAGAATTAGAGAATTGGTAATAGGCAAGTTCAGTTGGCTGGTATTGCCTTTGGTGAAAGCTGGTGTGGGTCTCAACCTCACCTTCAAAATACCCACGGGAGGTACTTTTTTGGGGTTGAGTTTGGCCTTTCAAGGACAGTTTGCAGAATATTCGTGGTATTCCCTATGCTGAGAGGCTTTGGGGCTGTTGAGGGAGCACCAGAGGTTGCCAAAGTATCTCTCATTAGGTATTTGATAATCAGATAAAAATATAAGGACTAGTGTCAGAGGCGGCAACAGGGAAAAGGAGATGATAACTACATAGAAAAAGAACTGACATTGACCTTGATTGCCTCTATCTCATGTCAGGAGCTGGCTTTTTCTGCTTATCTGACTGAAATACCGAAAGAAAAATCTCAGTTTACACAGAACCAAATTACCAAAGAGAATTAGAAGCCCTCATCCATGGTGCTACCTGCCGAGTTGCCAGGAATAGTGCTTACCCTAGTGGCCTGAGATAATTATGCATCTTGCTCAGTGTCTTGTGCTGGACTGGGGACTGATTTAGGCCACTGGGCAAATAAGCCCAGGACTTTGGAGCTGGCCATAATTCCTTTTCTCTGTTATGGGATGCACCCGATTTGGGAGCGAACAAAGACACATTTCTACCCGTTTTGGTGCCTCTGTTTGATATGAGAAGCAGTGTGGGTGTTTAAACTAATACTTTCATCCTTTTCGATATTCTTTATGGAGTAGACTTTGTCCTTTGACTATTTTCTTTTCTTTTATGGATCCACATATGAATATTTAAGAACACTTAGATGTTTTTGTTTGCAGGCACACATGTAAAAATAACTACTTTTGCTTTTCATAATCAGCTCTCATGCAAATAATGGATTTTCTGGAATTACAGTTCAGAGCAAGCTGCTGGCTTCTATAATGAACATCTAGTCTATCGCTAGTGAATGAGCAAAGGATGGTGGTGCACACATATCTGGGTAGAATGTGAAGATTTGGGAGGAAAAAATTACAGCCATTTATCTCTTAATCTTTGCCACTGCTGTCTCTAATAGATTTCTTCCACAGAATGGATGTTCATTAAGAGAATTTACTACCAGATATCTGCCATTAAATGTCAGCAAATCTTAATCCTAACCCAATGCTGCTATTGACTCTTTTCATGGAAGACAATTATCAGTAGTATTGAATTTTGGGTGCCTCACTGAATAACTTTTGCAAAGTCGCCACACAAGCCATGCTTCCATTTAGCTGCTTTCCTCACAATGGGATGTTTGCCCAATCATATTCATGTGTTAAAAAATGTAAGTACTCAGGTTCAAAGTTAATGGTTGGGGGAGACTAGTAAAGATAACCAGGAAGAGGAAGAGGTGCTGATCTTGATAGCATAGCAGACAGGCAGTGGAAAATGTTGCAGTTCACCAGTCAGGGTTTGTAATGTCCTTATTTTCCCTCTTACTCTGAACCTTTGCCCTGATTAAGGGCGGGGGGGGGGGGGGGGGGGGGGGGGGGCTGTTTAGAATTTAGCTTTAAGAAGGGATTAGTAAGAAGAGAATGTGAATGTTGGTTTGACAGGTGGGGTGGGGGAGGCCACTAAAGCCCAGGGGCCAACAGTCACTAACAGTTTGTTTTCCTCCATGTTCAAAACCCAGCTATTAACGATTTCCATCATAAAATTTTGTGAAAAAAAAGTAAGTCTTTTTGATCCTGCCTGGAAACCACCACATGTTGGTGAGGATGTTTTGCTTAGAATTTGTGTATTTTTTTTTAACAAAGGCATGTTTAAAGATTTATCAGTGATTTCATTGTGTTTACAAATAAGAAGTACTGGGAATTCTTTTGTTAATAAAAATTTACCAATAATAAAACAAATTTGTAGGTATTAATTGTCTAAAGGACATGATTCAAAGTGTGTAAGAAAGCACATACAATTAAAATTACTTGGTATAATATTTAAGTCAGAATGAATAAGCATATTAATAATAAAGCATCCATAAAAAAATTGTAGACAGTATGTAGACAATATTTCAGAAGAGGAATAGTTTTCCAAAATTAATGGGTCTTCAAAATTTTGAGGCCGATTGTTATGTGCCAGATTCTGCACTATTTTCTTTACATTAATTAACATGAATTAATCCACTTAAATCTTATTATAATTTCTGTGATTAAAACTAGTATTTTAAGCATGTTACAGAAGAAAATAAGGTTCAGGAGATTTATGTGCCCAGTATCATTCCAGCTAGAAATAGTTGACCTGGGATTTAAACCAGGTCTGTCTGACCCTAGAAGTGGTTTCTTTTGTTACTTTTTCTGGAGTAGAGGTAAGTGCTTTCAAATAAAGGGAGGGACTCAATCTGGATAGAGAACATGGAGAGGTGGTAAAAGTAAGAAATGAAAACTATATATATATATTTTTAAGAACAGCTGCCCACATGAATGGTAATATCTATCTAGAATTAAAGAAATGGAGAAAAAAGAGTAAGTTAGAAAGGTTCATTTAGAAGAAGATGATCCAGAAGTATACCCTAGAGGAGATGTTCAGTAAGCAGTTGGGGATAGAAGTCGTGAACTAAAAATAAATTGGTGAATAAATAATCCTAAATTTTTTCCTGTCTCATGGCCATTATTCAATGGGGCCTTTTTTTGAGACTTATATTGTTCAGCTAAGCCATCAACAGCCCTGCCATCTTCTCTACTCACTCCCTGGTGTTCATCCAAGACTAGTGGTTTACCTACCATTAGTAGGCCACACACACATCATCCCAGGCAGCTCATCCTGGCTTTACAGTCCAGTGCCTTTCTGAGTGTAATGGCCTTTATCTTAAGATCCCTCAGAACAATTCAGATCTTCCTTTGATCTAGACATAGGCCAACTCTGAAGACTGGAGTGTACAATCCCACACTTTGACAACCTTCTTTAGTCTTTCCCACTCACTAAACAAACCGGCAACTCTTACATAGTCTCTACTCCTTGGGCACTGTCCTCGTGTCCCTTCCCTACCCTGCCCAAAGGTCCTAGAGAGTCATTCCCACCACACGGTTGTTTCCATAGTGACCCCTGATGCGTCCGCTTGCCCCATCCCCAACCCTAAGCCACTATTTCTCATCCCCTGTTCCTAGGAAGCCCCTTTAGAGAGAATCATTTTCCAGTTGCCTTTGCAAATCATGATGCCAAACCTCAGGCTAGTCCCTCCACACAGCACCACAGGTTTCTTCCCAGGCGACTTCCAGATGCTTAACTCTGTCCTCAAGTCTATTTCCTTACTACTGAGCAGAGGCCTTATCTTCTCCCTCACAGAAGAAAAAGAGCTTACACTTGGGAACACATTCCCTCTCATCAGAACTTAGTATTTGTTCTCATTCTTTTCCCCCCTGTTCTCACTAAAACACAGAGGTAAAGGTGTCCTTTTTCCTCTCTCGGTCCTGAGTTAATTCTCTCTCCTTTGAATATGCTTTTGATTTATTTCTTATACTCCACAAATTATCTCATGTCCTCTATGTAAAAACAGTCCTAAATTCTTGGTCCTGCTGTCATTTCAAGTCTTCTTTTCAAAACCACAAATCTTTTTGAAATCGTATATTATAACCATGTCTTCATCTCTCCACCTCTCATTCTCGTGCCACTTGATTTGGATTCTGTTCTCACTAGGCTAGTGAAGCTTGTCTAGTCATTAGGGACCTCTTAGTTGACAGATATAATGGCATCTTTTCCGTTCCTATCCTGCCAGTGGCAGCTGCAAATTTGATACTTGTGTGCACTTATCTCCCTCAGCTTCTGTATCTCTCCCACCACTTCAGCTGTCTCATTCCCTGGGTATTTTCCTTCTTATCCCTT